CCACGGTGGGCGGAAGAGGTAGAGAAACTGGAGTTGGTTGATGTTTGGTCGCAGTGGGAACCGGTTTAGAAGTCGCGGCGCCACCGCCTGTTGAAAGTGCTTGCATCACCCGCAATCGAATTACACTATCTGAACCCATCGACTGGGCTTCAAGTCGTAAGAGCGCGACCAGGATCGACAACAGATTGTTGGTTGGTTGTGACCAAACTCTTGAGGAGACGGAATTCGTAGTGAAAGACGGCCGCAACATCCGTTCGCATAAAGGGCGACCGAGACAAGATAGATTATAGACTGCATCCAGTGCTAAAACGACCAAGTGCAGGTCACGGAGACAGAGAGTTTTCACCAAGTGCTCGAAAACCACAGACGGCAGACCGGATAAGAAAACCGCGTTGCGGTCGTTCGCGAGCACAGAACGATCACGTGGAGCGACGAGTAGATTTCCGTTCGCGGATCCAACTGGAGATCGACTATGCCGCGCCAAACCTAAGGGAGCCTCACACAATCGTCCGAGAAGTTGCAGACCTATATAGAGATAATGAAGACAAGAAGAAGTTTAAATGACTGGTCAGGTGATTGATAATCAATCATTCATTTAGTAATCGACTCATGTGTTCTAAGGAACATGACTGTGATTTGTGATTTAGCTCGACTGAAACGGGGACGATGTATGAGGTTCGAAAGTGCGTTAGTCTGACAATTTGGTATANTTGGTATACCATATGACTCTTGCAAGTTCGATATCTTCCATCAGATATATATCTGCGTGATGACGGAGGAACGGTTACCGGAACATCTCTAATTACGACCGATTTTAAAGGTAATAATAACTGAATTCAATACACTGAGAATGCAACGAGATGGGTGAGACAAAGCTTTATGGGGATAGGCGAGAAACGTATTCCAAATCAATGGTATCACATACGTAGTAGACTGGGATATATCAAATATTCAAAAACTGCATTTCTTTCAGGTATTCGTTTTCTTCAAAGGAATGAAACCGGCCCTTGAAAAGTAAACCATCAAACGAGTATGAACGCTGTATACAATGAATTGTGGTTTATGTGATTTGTCAACAGAAAATTC